TGCATGTGTGTGTGTGTGTGTGTGTGTGTGTGTGTCGAACCTTGAGCTCTCTGAGGCTCTTGTCGGTGGCTGAAACCGATAGTGTCGCCACGGCAACCTCTGTGTGCTGCAGCCACTGAGCCAGATCAGCGGTCCTCTGAACGACATCCATCACAGCCGGATCCTCACCCATCAACCTGCACATCAACAGTGTTTAGCACAAACACACACACACTGATCTGTGAGTCTGTGTGTGTGTGTGTGTGCTGTGCTCAGGCTCACCTGCACTGGCGCTCACACACTTGTCTCTGCACGCATGTCCAGCGGCGTCTCAGAGCGTCCAGCTTCTCCTGCAGCAGAGCGGCGTCGGGAGATGACACCTGACCGATGATGTGCTCTCCAGACCGGCTCAGAACCGCCACCACAGACTGATGAGAGGCCAGACCCTCCTCCAGATCCTACACACACACACACACACGAGGCACTGCGTTAATGGACGGTTGACCTGAGTGTGTCTAACTGATAAACAGGAAGTTGCCACTGCTCTTCATATATATGAGGGCAGGAAATGCGCCTGACCTTAATTTGTGTCTGAGGACAATTTCACATTCAACTCGCCCTCTTTCAGCACTTTCAGACCCAGAAAGACATTGCACACGCACACGTTTTCCCCAAAGCTCTCCCTGACTGTGAAACACACTTAACAGCGCATGAGTCTAATGAGTCTAACGTCCTCTTATAAGTTTTCAGTCTGTTCACGGCAGAGGAAGAGGCCACTGTGACTCTTCAAAACACTCTTGTCACACATCAGTCTAACAAACACTGGCAGTTTATTTTGCTTGCATGAAATCATTTTTCTTTCATACATTTAATTGTGAGTTAGAAGTGCTTAATTATCATACAATTAACAATTAGCATCTCAATTAATTAACATTGATGATTAATGATTACCTCCCTCTATATTTATGTTCTGTGATTTTTCTGCCTTTTCCGTTCAGAGAATGACATTTTGTTGACATTTACATTGGCACTAAGATGCTTTTATTTAAACTGACTGAATTGTATTCCAGCTACAGATGTTATGGAAACTGAACCCATGAACATGTACCTGTAAGCGCAAAAATAACATGCAAAGAAGCAATTGAACGTTACAATTTGTTTTTATTGTAAATGGCCCTTGCTGATGGTAAATGCATTCTATCTATCCTTCTAACTATCTGTCAAACTAAAAATCTGTCATGTTTGCATATCCACTGACAAATTGTACCATAGTGGAAATGTTTCCATCAGAAGCTTATCACAGATTCATAAAATTCATTGAAGGGATTCATATATAATATGTTTATAATATACACATGCACTTACTATTGTTCAAAAGAAGTCTTTTATGGTCACCAAGACTCCATTTATTTGATAAAAAAATACAGTAAAATACATTAATATCGTGAAATATTATTATAACTTAAAATAACTGTTTTCTATGTGAATATATTGTAAAATGTCATTTATTCCTGTGATCAAAACTGTATTTTCAGCATCATTCCTCCAGTCTTCAGTGTCACATGATCTTCAGAAATCAGTATAATATGCTGATTTGATGCTACTTCATTTTTTTTTCCTTAAGGAAATGTTTTTTTTTTTGATAACCAGAAATCTTTAGTCAATTTTGATCAATTAAATTTGTCCTTGTTGAAAAAAAAAAATCTTAAAAAAAACAAATGTCACTGAAAAAAAAAAAAAAAAAAGTATATAATTTTATGAATATTCATGTATTTTTTTATTTAAAGTTTATATTTAATTTGTATATTTATATTTATTTATACTTAGTATAACTGTTACACTTTTTAAACATTATTCAAATGTTTAAATGCAAAATGCTTCCAACTTCTTCACTGGGATTTTAACTTCTTAAACCGTTATGTCAATAGATCATAACGGGTCATAACAGAATGGATCTGTGACCTTTGACTCTGCGTCTGACCTGTTGCTGTGTACGAGCGCAGTCCAGGTCCAGTTCTCCGTCTGATCCAATCCCGTCAGCCAGGACCTGTTCAGTGTGGCTCAGCCACTGCGAGAGATCGTTCATGTCACAGTGAAACTGCCTCCACTCCTCCACAGCTCCATCGAAACACCTGCGCACACACACACACACACACACACACAGACAGAGACAGAGACAGACGCGCGCACACACACACACACACACAGAGACAAAGACACACATACACACAGACAGAGACACAGACAGAGACAGACACACACATAGACACAGACAGACACAGACAGAGACAGACACACACATAGACACAGACACAGACACACACACAGACACAGACACACACAGAGACAGAGAGACAGAGACACAGACAGAGACACAGACACAGAGACACAGACAGAGACAGAGACACAGACAGAGACACAGACAGACAGACAGAGACACAGACAGAGACACAGACATAGACACAGACACACACATAGACAGAGACACAGACAGAGACAGAGACAGAGACAGACACACACATAGACACAGACAGAGACAGAGACAGACACAGACACACACAGACACAGACAGAGACACAGACAGAGACACAGACAGAGACACACACACACACAGACAGAGACACAGACAGACAGAGACACAGACAGAGACACAGACACACACAGACAGAGACACAGACACACACAGACAGAGACAGACACACACATAGACAGAGACACAGACAGACAGAGACACACACACACACACAGACACACACAGACAGAGACACAGACACACACATAGACAGAGACACAGACACAGACACACACATAGACACAGACACAGACACAGACACACACACACACAGACAGAGACACACACACAGACACACACACAGACAGAGACACAGACAGAGACACAGAAACAGACAGAGACACAGACAGAGACACACAGAAACAAACAAACACACACAGACGGACACACGCACACACACAGACACACACACACAGACACAGACGCACACACACACAGACACAGACACACACACCAGGAAACATGCTCATCTAAGTGGTGATATCCTCACATCACATTCATTTCTTCAATCTGGTGATCAACTGTTAAACTGGTGCTCCAGTTAGTCCAGCATAATTCAGCCGGGACCAGTCTTTGGAAAAGCACTTCCTCATGTCAGCGGGTGTCCATGAAACTGGCAGAGTAACTGGGTCACATTTCTGTTTAACGGTGTGGAAAACTTCCTGTGTGACTGACTTCAGATGAAGTCCTGCTCACCTCGGAGAAGAACCTGCCTCTTGAATCATTAACTTTGAGTTTCAAAGTCAATCTCAAGAAAATATGTCTAGGTCACGTTTCAACCCAAAAACCAAAGGAAATACAGGATCAGATATTTTGCATAAAGAAAATGAAACCTATTCAGGCCTGTGCTTGCGTCATGACATTATATTCATGACAATCATTCACAGTTTCCAGGAAATACTTCAAGTTACTGAGTTACTTTTTTTTGTGTGTGTGTGTGTGGAATTATCATTATTCTCAAAAATGATTCCATTAGATTATCCTGTCCAGAGGGGAAAAAAGAAAGAAAAACATAATAAATAATAGATTTTTTTGTAGCGTTATTTTAGTACTATTTGTATAGTATTATATTTTGTATTAATACTTTGAGTTTTATTTTTAGATCAGTTTGTATTTTAATGTAATTTTTTTAACAATGTTGTAATGTGTCTGTCTTTTTTATTTAACTTTTTTTTTTTTTTTACTTATTTCAGTTGCCAACACCAAACAAGTGCTCTAAAAAACTTTAAAAAAAAAACACTTTTTCATCTTGTAATTTTCTGTGAAATATGGCATGTTCTTCACAGGTTTTGTGTGATGTGATGTTTATTTACTTCCCGAGCTTATTCTTCAACATTAAAAAAAACATTGATAACTGTGATGTAATCACTATTATACTTAAAAGCAACGCCTGAGCCAACTCTTTTTTAACTAATTAGCATTGATGGTATTATTCATCTTTGCTTTAAAAAAATGTATATTAGAGTGTGTGATGTTTCTTTAAATCAGATGCACTCTGCACCAGAATTAATGAAGGTTTCAGTAGCGAGATATTGGTTTCTCTCACATCCTCATGCGTTTATAATATCCAGGGATTTGACACATTTCTCTATGGACCAATCATCAGCACATATTCCTAGACTCAGAGCCGTAGCCTCAGTAGATATTGAGGGGGGCATATCCTCCCTCCCTCCAGCAAAATTCAGATTAGGCGCTGACTGTTATGGGTTTTTTTTTCAAATTATTACATTTGCCACCTCAATCCTGAATGCATGGACATGTCCTTCCCTGGACTCCTCCATTAGCATGTTACGAATGGACAAAACAACATTAGCAAATCTACCTCCGATAAGGAGAAATTAGGAAATATATGCTGAAATGCTAACTTTTCCTAACCCACTTCAACCAACGCTCACACACATCCAACCTTCCTCGCAACTAGAGACGTAATAGAGTTCAAAATTACAATCTCTCTAACTGTATTCATCATTGGTTTCATGCAATAACTACTATCATGTCCAACAAATTAAATACAAAAGTTTTTTCAGGTTCACTTTGTGATTGTGGGCCATAATGGGGAGATCTAGACAGGGAATTATAGACTCACCCTTTCCTCTGGCTGTACGTGCGGTTGACTCTGTCCCACTCTGAGTTCAGCTGTGTCAGGGCATCAGATATCTGTGCCATCTCCTGTCTGGAAGCTTCCAGAATCACATCAGGCTGGCGCTCATTGATCACTTCAACCTGTTCACCCAACCGCTCCAAACTCTCCTTTATATTCTAGAAACAGAGACACAGAGAAGTCAATGCCAAACAGAACAACTGAAAACACCCATTGCTCCAGTCAGTTTAGCCTCTTTAGCAGACTGCTGGTGAACAGGAAGTTATTATGGTCAACAGTGTTGCTTATACTTTAAGAGTAGACTGTAGCTTGGCAAGCTAGTTTGTGCAAGTAGTTTTCCCAACACTTGTACCAGCATACTGATATTTGGACCTCTTGAACCCTGTAATGAAGGAAACCACTGTGTCTAAGCAAATCACTGAAGTGTGTGGCTGACCCGGAGCGTGTCCTCCTGGCTGGAGAAATCCTCAAACAGTCCTCCGCTGAGCTCTGAGGAGTTCAGGAGCAGCTCGTTGTCGGCCATGGCCAGCAGAACCTTATTAATGTCCAGCAGATAGTCAGACGGGGAGACAGATGCGCTCCTCTCATCCTGGGGAGAGAGGGATGACTCTGATCTCTGCCGAGGAGGAGAAGATGATTCGAGCACAACTGGCTGAGTTCTGATGCTATGAAGCTCCTGCAGAGAGACAGAGAGAGAGAATATAGTGAATGGAAGAATGTAGCGTGTGATATGGTGCTTTCACACATTTAGCATTTGTTTACAATGCAATAGTAAACAAGATCTGGTGTGGGAACACCAGCAAATCAATTCGCTGTCAATATGCCAATGTAACACAGCTATAAAAACAAGGTGTTAAAAGTTGTAACGCGACCATAAACAGCCTCGAGCATTTCTGCAACAGACATAACAGTCAAAACATAGCCGTAACCATATCTGTAAACATCCATCGTTGATGTAACACAGCTGTAACATATCCATTAACAATGCTGTAACACAGCTTTAACGAAACCAATAATCATAGCTGTAAAAATAGCCATAGCATAACTGTAAAGCCATAATAGCAAAAACAAAGTCTAAATACTATTGTAACACAGCTGTAACGCAGCTGTAAACATAACTTCAACTTAGCCATAACATGGCTGTAAACATATCCATAACACATCCAGCCTTATCAGCTTTAACACTGCTGTAACATAGCCATAACAGAGTCAAAACCGGTTAAACACAGCCGTAGCTGTAACTTAGCCATAACACAATAGTAAAATAGACAATCCCTGCTGTAACAGCTATAAACACAGCTGGAACAAAGCCATAATACAGCTGTAAACAATGCCGTAACATATCCTGAACACAGCTGTAAATGTAGCTGTAAAATACCCATAACATAGTCATAACATTGCCATAACAGCCACAAACAAAGATGGAACAAGGCTGAAACACTGTTGTGCTTCACAGATGCAACGCAGGCAAAACTTTAACACACCCGTAAAAATAACTTCAGCTTACCCATAACACAGCTATAAACACAGCCATTATAAATCCTGTAACACATCCATAAACACAGCTGTAACAACTATAAACACTGTTGTAACAGTCGTAATGCAGCCAAAACATGACTTTAACACGCCTGTAAATGTAGCTGTAAAACAGACATAACAGAGCTGTAAAAATAGACATAGTCATTGATGTAACAGCTATAAACAGCTGTAACAAAGCCGTCATACAGTTGTAAACAATGTTCTAACGCAGCCTAAACACAGTCAAAACAAAGCTGAAACACTGTTGTAACAGACACAATGCAGGCAAAACATTGCTTTAACACAGCTGTAAAAACATAGCTTTAACACATCCATAACATAGTTATAATCACGACTGCAGCATAGCTATAATACCCATAATCACAGCTGTAACACCATTAAAAAAAAAGCTGTAACAGCTGTAAAGTATCCATCATTTTGAACATGCACAAGGCTGTTCTGATGCTATAAGACTTGAACCAAATGCAAGGTTCTGACATCAGGTTTTCTACTTACAGTGTAGACATACATCACATTATAAGCAACTGCACGTGTAAACACTGTGTACATAAACATTCAACTCCAACTAAATTGCAGCCCTCCAGCTTTTCAAATAGTAGCAGCCTAATATTTCTGAAAGAACATTTGGGTTTTAGAATTTAAAGGGGTCATATGATGCTTTTTTAAAGATCATTATGTTGTGTATTTGGTGTAACAGAATATGTTGACATGCTTTAATGTTCAAAAAACACATTATTTTTCAAATACTGTACATTATTGTAGGTCCTCTATGCCCCGCCTCTCTCAAACGCTTCGTTTTCTACAAAGCCCCTCCTTCCGACAAGCGCAGACTGCTCTGATTGGCCAGCTGACCCAGTGCATTGTGATTGGCCGAACACCGCAAGCACTCGTCGGAAATGTAACGCCCCTTACCATAATCGCGAGCTTCATCTTATAAATAAATGTAAAGACAGTAAATAATGTCGTTACTTTTACCAGTAATCTTAAAGGTTCCTAAATGCATCTACTTCCGGAAGGCCAAATAAAGTGCTTTTGCTTTCGCCTAGAAACACACAGCGTCTCCCTGACATGCTGCTTCAACACTAACTGCGGTTACTGAAACCACGCCTTCTTTCTTTGCGTGCACATTTGGGCTGCACTATGCAAATATTTCCACATAGTGAGGTAGATATGTGGGGGCGTGTTAGAACGAGCTGTTTTAGGGGGGCGTGGCAGAGTCTTAATTTTGACAAAGAATATCTCTTTGGGTTTGAGACTTTAGTCTTTGCAACTTCAGGGATCTTATCTATGCACAATCAGCTTGTAACACTCCAAAGAGAAAGGAAAACTTGAAATCGCATCATATGACCCCTTTAAAGAGAGTTTTGTTGATATGTATAATAAACAGTAATCTGTCGCCAGGAAAGTTAATACTGCAATTTAACGGGTTTCATGTGTGAAAGTGGCTTGAAATTCAGAGCCGGCATTACGTGGCTGACATGTTAGAGTGCATAAAATGACCTTGTAGCATGTCTGGAGCAGCAGCAGTCTCCTGCGGATGTCCTCTCTTCTGTCCTCGTCAGGAACAGACCGCAGCACCTCCTCTCCTCTCCTCAGCACCTCCTCAACATGAGCTTTCTCCTCATCCAACTAAAACACAAATACACTAATTCAGGACAAACACATGACGGTTTTATATGGCTGGGTATGTAGACATCTGGTGTTATAGGTGCAACACCTCATAGTTTATGTTTAAAGGAATAGTTTGACCAAAAATGAACATTTGCTGAGAATGTAATCACCCTCAGGCCATCCAAAATTAGTTTGTTTCTTCATGGGAACAGATTTGGAGAAATGTAGCATTGCATCATTTGCTCAGCAGTGGATGCTCTGCAGTGAATGGGTGCCGTCAGATTGAGAGTCCAAACAGCTGATAAAAACATCACAATAATCCACAAGTGAAAAACTGTGTTAATAAGAAACAAATCCACCATTAAGACATTTTTAACTTTAACTTCTGGCCGAAATACAAGTCCATAATCCATAATAACTCTTCCTCCAATGAAAAGTCCATCCCCTGTTGTCTTTACATCAAAAAACAACACATATTTGTTCAGATCTGTTTTGGACTGTTTTCACTCATAAAAAAAGGTGCTTGATCTGTGCAGATTTCTCTCCTGATTCAGACGAGCTGACTTTTTCATTGGAGGACGTGTTATTAAGAATGGAGGACTTATATTTTAGCCAAAAGCAATGGTTTGAAGTTAAAAATGTCTTGATGGATTTGTTTCTTACAAATACACAGCTTTTAGCTTCTCAAGATATTGACTGATGGACTGGAGTGGTGTGGATTACTTGTGGATTATTGTGATGTTTTTATCAGCTGTTTGGACTCTCATTCTGACGGCACCCATTCACTGCAGAGCATCCATTGCTGAGCAAGTGATGCAATGCTACATTTCTCCAAATCTGATGAAGAAACAAACTCATCTACATCTTAACTGGCCTGAGGGAGAGTAAATATTCAGGAAAATTTCATTTTTTGGGTGAATTATTCCTTTAAAATACAGATATGTGAGTGGAGCTACAAAAAGTTATGTCATCTCACTTTGTTACAGGTCAAATCAGGTGTGTGTATATGATGTGTGTTAGTTGATGCTAAATAGTTAATGTGTGTACCCTCTCATCATCAGGTGTGTGTGTTTTCTCCTGTTGCTCCAGTGCTCTGATAGTAGCGTGTAGGTCTGATTCGAACAGCTGTAGCTGTGAGGAGGCGAGGAGAGGAGCAGACCTCCCGTCTGCCACCTCCTGCTGCGGCCGCACTGCCTCCTGTCTGACCTTCAGACCAGCAGACACCTGAACACACAACACACACACACGCTTAGCACTAGCTAATGAGTGTCTGTCCAGCGCCGCGGCTGAAAAACAAGCTCCGCTCAGGCCTCTGCTGAGCCAGCCGCTGGAGTCGTACCTGAGCAGAGCTGATGTGCTGCGCCACCTTGTGGAAGCTGCGGTTGAGGTCGGCCAGTTTGGGCTCCACCAGCTCTCTGCACACAGGCCCCCTGCTGGTCATCAAGATTACTGCCTGATCACGAGCGCTGTCCACACGCACACTCATTCCCTCCAACTCACACAGCACAGCCTGTCAGACACACACAGAGCAGATTCCATACATTAATGCGTGTTAATGAAATCAGGTTTCACTAGACCAGAAATTTTTTTTTGTTTTTATTATCTTTCATCAAAATGTAATTACTTTCTCTGCCTCTGAACCATTTTCTTAGCTGCCGACATAATCTTAGCCATGTGGCAGAGAAAAAAATATATTAACCAACAATACTGTAGCCTAACATTTATGATCCAACCAAATCCTGATGGATCAAATTACATTATTTATTGTTGAATATTCACTTTCTCTGAAAAGACACAAATGACATAACCAAGTCTCTCTCTCTGTGTGTGTGCCTGTGTGTGTGCACGTGTGTGAGAGAGAGAGAGAGAGAGAATGTGTGTGTCTGTCTGTGTGTCTGTTTTCACCATCATCATTCTCTCTTTCTCAGCTGCAGGCATCTTCTCCATCTCATCCAGTCGTATCTCCGTCTGATAGAGCCATGTGCTGATATGAGCCAAATTCTCATCAAACATCTCCACTTCACGCCTGTGATTCTACAACACACACACACACACACAGTGAAATAAAGTTAATAAAGTTTTTTTTTTAATTCTAAAAATGCAGAAAGTATTCTATTAAGGTCCAGGTGTTGGCTAGGTTATAGTATTTATAATTTTTTGATTATAAAACAAAAGTCTATGAAATGTCCCCATTTAGATATCTATATGTAAATGTGTGAGTGAGAGTGAGCGAGCGAGCGAGCGTGTGTGTGTGTGTGTATGTGTGTGTGAGTGAGTGAGTGAGTGAGTGAGTGAGTGAGTGAGTGAGTGAGTGAGTGAGTGAGTGAGTGTTGCTATTCTTCTAATCAGTCTTGACAAATCGCACAGAACTGAATGAAGCAGTTGGGATGATGTGAACTTAATGAGTTAATTGTGTCATGTAACTTTAAGCAGTCACTCACCAGAACAGCACTGAGCCAGTCCTCTATCAGCGTGTGCATGCGCTCCCAGTCCTCATTGAGCTCAAACAGCTGATCCTCCAGCTGAGCCTCGCTGCCCTCCACTAAGGCCTGCAGGGCGGCGCTGTTCTCCATCACCACAGACAGATCGCTCTTCTTGAGCGCAGACTCCTTCAACAAGCCCTACACACACACACACTCATTTCACACACACACTCTCTGTGTAAAGACTGCATGAGTGAGGGACTGTCAGACACACTCACGTTGGCCCATGTGATCTCCGTCTCGATATCGGCAGGCATGTCTCCTGTGCTGAGCTTCTCTTTAAGCGGAGTCTCAGTGTTGCTCATCCAGGCCTGCAGGGCGGCGCTGTCCTTCTGCAGCCGCTGAGACAGAGACAAAGCCTTCTCCAAATCCTGTTTCCCCTCAGTCACCTGACACAGACAACAGGTATTTTATGGCAAATTACACTAAAGTCAACATGAAGTAGCTTTCGCAACTCATTTTATTTTTGTAATGCGATGTATTTCGGAGTGAAAAATTTAGGACGAGGCTTGATTTTGTCCACTGGCAACTGCTTTCATTGCCGTTTTAGAAATGTGTGTTAAAAATGTGCACGTACCTGAGCTCCCAGCTCATTGTAGAGTAATTTGAGCGTGGTGAGTTGTTCGTCCATTCCTTTAGGATTTTCTGTCTGCTGTTTTTGTACGATCTGTCTTCCCGTTTTAATCACCGTCTCCACCTCCAGTTTCACCTCGCTCAAGATCTTATACAGTTTCTGGATTTATAAAAACAACACGCGTACATAAAACACAAGCAGTGTGAGGTGTGTGTTTTTCAGTGTTGTTACTGTAAAACCAACTATTAAAAATCTTAAAATAAAATAAAATAAAAAACTAAAAAAAAATCTATAATAAAAAAATTCAATAAAATGTTGCCCTGGAAACTATCTGAAACAAATAACAAAAACTGAAATAAAAATAAAGCTATATAGAAAGATAAAAAAGACAAAAAATACCTAACTGAAACTATACAAATAAAAATCCAATTCAAAATATGAATGTGTACTATAATAGTATAGAATTAATACTTCAATGACAGTAGTGTGTTTTCTCACCATGCATCCGTTCAGGTGGGTCTGGATCTCCTCTGGTTGTGTGTCTTTCAGGTCCAGGACGGGAAGTTCAGCTTTAGCGTTTTCCAGAATCCTCTTGCAGTCCAGCATTCGCTGCTCAAAGTTGGCTGGTTTCTGGAACAGCTGGAATTTTGTACTAATCTCACGGAGTTTCCGCTAAACAGAACAGAAATACACAAGATAAACTTTAAAGGGTTAGTTCACCCAAAATTAAAAATTCTGTTATTAATTACTCACCCTCATGTCGTTTCAAACCCGTAAGACCTTCGTTCATCTTCAGAACACTAATTAAGATATTTTTGATGAAATCTGAGAGCTCTCTGACCCCCCCATAGACAGCAAGGTAACTACCACGTTCAAGGTCCAGAAAAGTACCAGGATGATCGACAAAGTAGTCCGTGTGTCATCAGTGGTTCAACTGTAAAGTTACGAAGCTACGAGAATACTTTTTTGCGCAAAGAAAACAAAAATAATTACTTTATTACACATTTTCGTCTCTACTGCGTCTACGCTCACGTCATGTTACTGTCGTGAACGCGCGTCCACAAGTGACGCAGTAGAACCACGCAGAACGTGGTAGTTACCTTGCCGTCTATGGGAGGGTCAGAGAGCCCTCAGATTTCATCAAAAATATCTTAATTTGTGTTCCGAAGATGAACGAAGGTCTTACGGGTTTGGAACGACATGAGGGAGAGTAATTAATGACAGAATCTTCATTTTTGGGTGAACTACATCACTATTAAAATCTGAACAGATTTAAAAACACTAGGCATCATTCCCTTGCCAATTTTGTTAAAGGTCATAGAGGAAAAACTGGACATCATACACTGAACGACTGAAGATCACACATTACTAGACTTTGATGATCACAGATTGCCAAACACCACAAACTCACACAGAAACAGGTGCCTTGTTGATGCATATCAAAAGAAAGCATTACGTGTTCTACAACTGGCTCAAAATATCAAGCATGTTTAATATCCTCCAATCATATTCTGACGTGAAGCGAAAAAAAATAAATCGGGGCAAAAGTCATGTAGTGTATTCCAGTTTTTTTAAACATTTGATTTTTATTTTATTTTTTACAAAGTGGGCATTTGTTCCAACCTAGTAGCATGCAAATAAGAATGTTAAAGGTTGCATAAACACGTGCAGAGCAGAGTTATTAGCACTAACTAAAACTATAAAAACTCAAACTGAACCTGAAATAAAATATAAATAATAAACATAAATAGTAATATAAAAAACAAGACAAAAACCTAATAAAACACCAAAAGCACATAACAAAATTACAAAAAAAAATTGAACTAAAAATCGAATTGAAAATTATTAAAAACTATAAAATAGTATATAAATAATACTAAAATAACACTTGCACAGAATGAAATCTCAAAACCTGAATATCCAAGATTAGTTACTAAACCAGGGTGATGTATGAAAAAATAGTCTAGCGATTAGCATTTCCTCTCCGGTCCTGCGGGGACAGTATTGTGTCTCACCTGTAACTGGTCCAGTAGGGTTCCTCCTCGCACTGGTTTGCCCTCTGGGACAGTTGGAGGCACGTTACCTACATTCCTCCTCCTCAGATCCTCCAGTGTGGCCTCATGGGCCGCGATCTCGGCCTGAATGGCCTGCATTCAGAGCATTTTGACAGTTAACGGCCAAAGAGTAAAAGAATAAGCTCGAAGGAGTTTAAAAACAAAGTAGCATTACGATAAATCTGTCACTGGTTATTGAAAATCTTGAGCATCTATGAATATCTACACCAGTGGTGTAGTGCAGTGCACTTCTTTATCAGTCGTATACCCACTAATAAATCCCCTCTGATGCGCTTTATTCAGTCCTGCTTTAGCCAAAATAATGACGGTCCAGCACACGAGTAGCTAATCCAATCGCATGTGAATAAATGCAAATATTCCCTAAAAAAAACACCCAGCAAAAGCAGTGTGATGCGGTCAGGACCGAGGCGCCGGCTTCCCTTGAAATATGATTGTCACAGTCAGAGAAGATGCCGACAGTGACAGAAATGCTGCTGCTTCTTGTGGTAACTGCTGTGAATGAGTTTGTGTGTTTATACCTGAGCTTCCTGAGGCAGCTGGAAGGCGTCGATGCGGTCGGTGAGGTACGAGGTGAGCGTCTGGTCCAGCTGCGTGAGGGACGTCTGTAGTGTGTGTAACGCCGTCTCGTTCTCTCTCAGAGTCCCCAACTTCTGCTCCAGAGACATCTGACGTGCAGCAGCCTACAACACACACATGAATGCAATACTGTAAATATAATGTGAATCTGAATCAGTTCTGGGGAATCATTCGATCTGTTCAAAACGAACACACCAGCTGAGTCAGTTCTTCGTAGCGCGAGTTGAAGCTCTCCAGTTTCTCGCTGATGAGTTCATCCAGAATGCCTCCGTCTATGAGAGTCTGGGCCAGCTCTCGGATCTGAGTCCTGTTATCACCCGGATGACGCATAACCGGCTCCAGAGACTGAAAGAGACACGCAAATCCTGTTTACACCATGAGTATTAACAACAACTCGGGATCCAAAACGTGATCCGATTACTCGCACCACAAACAGACGTAAACAAAAAATGTATGTGGTCACATCATATTTGTAACGCTTAAGGTGTGGTCACATTAGCAATATTTTATGGGTAAAGAAGACCCATTGTCAATAGTGTAGCAATGTATGAATCACTTTCAAACCAAGCAGCTTTCTGTTGGTCCATTTATCTGAGCAACTTGAACTCGTGAAATCTGCATGGGGAAATCTTTCACCCTCACTTGAAATTCCCAAGGATGTGAATATATATTGAAATTACTGGATTTTGGCTGCGAAATTTGACTGAACAAGATAAGCCACGCTTTTGGCATGAAAGCCGTTACCTCCAGAGCCTCGCTGATAGACTCTGTGTTTTCTGGGATGTTTTCAGTGGCTTGAACTTTCTCCTCCAGTGTCTTCAACCAGCCAGACTCCACGTTCAAATACTGCAGCAGCTCGATCCAGCAGGACCACACCTCCTGAACATCAGTACAAACACATCAGACCTCAGCTAAACATCTAAACAGGAACCAATCAAACCACATCTGGAGCAGGGCTGTCCTGTGTGTGTGTGTGTGTGTGAGAGAGAGAGAGAGAGAGAGAGAGAGAGAGAGCAAGAGAGTGTGTGTGTGTGTGTATGTGTGAGAGAGTGTGTGTGTGGGAGTGTGTGTGTGAGAGAGAGAGAGTGTGTGTGTGTGTGTGTGTGTGAGAGAGAGTGTGTGTGTGTGTGAGAGAGAGTGTGTGTGTGTGTGAGAGAGTGTGTGTGTGTGTGTGTGTGTGTGTGTGAGAGAGTGTGTGTGTGTGTGTGTGTGTGTGAGAGTGTGTGTGAGAGAGAGAGAGAGAGCGAGAGAGAGAGTGTGTGTGTGCGCGTGTGTGTGTGCGTGTGCTTGTGAGTGTGTGTGTGTGAGTATGTGTGTGTGTGAGAGAGAGTGTCTGTCTGTCTGTGTGTGTGTGTGAGAGTAAGTGTGTGTGTGAGCGCGTGTGTCTGTGTGTGAGCGCGTGTGTCTGTGTGTGAGCGCGTGTGTCTGTGTGAGCGCGTGTGTGTGTGTGCGCGCGCGCGTGTGTGTGTGTGTGTACCTCAAGCGTGTGGCACTTGCTCTTGAAGCGATCACAGAGCTTCTGGTAGTTGTGCAGAACTTCAGTGAGCTCAGGGCTCAGGTCAGGACCACCAGGGGGCATCTTTCCAAACAGCACATTAATGCTGTCCTTTAAAATCTTCACACGCACTTCCTTCTGCAACACATCGTCTTTAGCCCTCTAAAACACACACAGAGAAGACATTTTTACATTACATTACAACTTTACATTAACTTTCACTAATCAATGATTAATAAACATTATATAATGCTTAAAAGATCAATTGTTTCATTTATAATCAAAAGTAAACATGAAAACAGCAGTCATATTGTATCGATACTAAAGCTATTAAAAAGCATATCCATTAATAAAAAATAATGCTGAAATAAATTAAAACATTTTATATGGAAAACATGAACATTAGAAATGCTGCCTTTGCAATGAACTGAAATAAAATGAGTTGAAGTACTAAAATAACTCAAATAAAATCTAAATAGAAATATTAAAACAAAATAACAATGACAAAGCATATAAACAACATTACTAAAACTTAAATTAAAATGAAAAAAATAAAAATATAAATGCTGTTATAGTATATAAATACTAAAATAGCATTGGGAAATACATTAAGTATAAATGCACATGAATAAACATTATAATATGTGATGCATAAAATAATTAGCTAATGTTAATAGTGAAAGTTATCATCAATCTGTTATGACTTTTCAACCTATTCCTCCAGACCTTCATCTCCTGCAGGGCCTCCTCCAGCTCCTCTGGGCTCTTGTACTCAAAGTCTCTCATGAGAAACTCCTCGTCCACTTGAATCATCCACTCCCGCATCTCCGCCACATCTTTCTTCAGATTCATCACTTTCTCCTGACCGTCACTCACACGCTCCTCACGCCTCAACAACTGCAATCAAGATCGACCACGTTTATACTGACATCAACGTAACGTGACTTATCCCAGAAGAGCATGTTCCTGAATCAAGCAGGGTTGGGAAGTGGTTTCTACTTGAATAAAGCACCTCTAAAGTACGAGTTCTGCCCTTGCTGTGCATCTACTTGATGCTAAGGCCATTACATTCAGTGTTCAGCAGCACCACTAGACGTTATCTTTCGCACCTCTTTACTGAGCGTGTCCCAGCGTCTCTGACTGTCGTCCAGCTCCGTCTGCCCCCAGCTGATCAGACCCAGTACTGAGCTCTGCTGCACGGCAGTCACGTTCTCCCTCATCTGCTTCAGAGACGAGTCCACGCTCTGCATCTCACTCACCAGCTCCTGCACAGACAGCGCGGAAAGCTTTGGCGTTGCTGAGGAAATTTCTCAACCATCAACTTCAGCTGATTTCTCAACCAGTTAGTAAACCAGCTCAACAAGTCCACGGTGGTTTACCAGGACAACCTTGGCGCTGCGGATAAACCATCTAAACCAGTGTCAAACCAGTGTCAAACAGCTAGAAACTATGTAAAACTAGCATCATTACGGACCCGATATACTTCAAGTGAAATCAACTAGAACAAACTAGTGTGTTATTTCGATCGAAGTTCATCTGAAGTTTGTTTCGGTCCATCAGATGCCTGTGAGTAAAAGCATAAACACTGCAGAGCTGCTTTATAGTGCAACTGAACTGTAACTGTAACTGAAAGCTGCACTGACACTGCTTATTCAAGTTTAATACTGTAAAGCACCCTTGCTTAAAGGGACAGTTCACCCAAAAATGAAAATCACCACATAATTTACTCACCGTAGGTGTATATGACTTTCTTCTTTCAGACGAATTCAATCTGAGTTATATAAAAAAATGTCCTGGCTCTTCCAAGCTTTATAATGGCAGTGAATGGGTGTTATTTTTCAATAGTCCAAAAGGAGTCCAATAAAGCGCATCCATCCATAATAAAAAGTGTTCCACATGGAAAAATGTCGGAGGATTTCAATAAAAGGACTGGTTTTCCTTTGCTCCTGTAAACAAACGTTGGTTCTCGCGAAACTAGCATATTCTCATCGGAGTTTACGCTATGCCTACGTGAATGAACGCGCGTACAACAGTTAGCTGAAGCTAGAGATTACGGTTTATAAAGTTTTAAATATGGATATTTTTCTTACAAAAATGCATTGATTCGCTACAGGAGGCCTTTATTCACCCCCAGAGCTGTGTGAGGCACTTTTTATGATGGATGGATGCGCTTTATTGGACTTCTTTTGGACTATTGCAAAGAAACACCCATTCACTGCCATTATAAAGCTTGGAAGAGCAGGACAATTTTTGATATAGGCCTAACTCCGATTAGATTAGCCTGAAAGAAGAAAGTCATATACACCTAGGATGCCTTGAGGGTGAGTAAATGATGAGGTAATTTTCATTTTTGGGTGAACTATCCCTTTAAAAGCAATCTATTGTATAAAGTTGGTGTTTCAAATCGCAGAGCTCATGCAAGCATACCCACATCACTATGATCAGATGCTTAAAGGGATAGTTCACCCAAAAATGAAAATTTGCTGTTAATTTACTCGCCCTCAGGCCATCCAAGAGTCAAGAGGCATTTATTTGTCATTTGCACTGGGAAACTGGGCATTGAAATGCTCGTGACGATGCTCAGACTTACAGTCATTTTAACAGGACTATACACACAGACAGTAAACATGACCATATACAGTACAATTAGGCACAGACAGGTGGAGGGCTTTGGTATATCAAAGTGATGTGCTGTTTTGTAGGCAGGACAATAAATACAACAAATACAAATAAGTGGAGAGTCCCGAGTAAGAGATGTAGGTGACTTTTTTTCTTCAGTAGAACAGTAAAGAAGATATTTAGCTGAAACCATTGCTCTTGATAAAATGCAATTCGGTGGCTACCGTCACTCTGAGAGTCAAAGCAGCAACACAAAATTAATATCTGATGATATATTGAGGTCTTATGAAGTGAAATTATCAGTCTGAAACTGATCATTATTACCTGTAATCCAGACCCTCAGACGTCCTGTTCGCGAACTAATCATTCTTTTGAAACGGTTCTTTTTGGTAAACTAGTTGAACCAATTCACCAAATCAGACTCAACGTCTAAAACGGTTCTCGGCTCGAGCACCACAGATCTACAAGTTACTCAATCAAAACTCACTTTCAGATGCCCGACAGTCACTCCGATGCGAAATGAGCTGAAATACCGGCGTTTATGATCCTGTGATGACTGAATCATTCAGCCCTCCAGTTCCTCCAACAGTCACTGAACTGAGGAAACGGTTCGACTCGGACCGGAGACTGATGAGCCGCGGATATGCGCATGCGTTAACACTTGAATGAAGGGGCCAAATGAATGTGTTTATGGTTTCTCATCGTATATGTAAAAAGATGAGCTGATGAAAACAAGTTTATTCACTTTTATATGCTTGTAAAACGTCCATGTTTCACATCATTATTGGGTGCTTTAATAATACAATAGCATATACGTTATGTCATTGCGTGATTACACAAACAAACTAGTGAACTGAACTAGTTCAGTGAATCTGAAAGATCGAAAGAATCGTATTTCCCCATTGCCTGAGGCTCTGGATTACAGGTAACAATGTTGTAAATAGAGTTCAGTTTCTTGCACAGACCGATTGCTTCGCTTCATAAGACCTCAATATATCATCAGGAGCCACAGGTATTAATATAGTGTAGTCTGAAATGCTTTTTTGACTCTCAAAGTGCCGGTAACCACTGACATTTCATGAATCACAAAGGACCACAGTTTCAGCTAAAAATCTTCTTTTCTGTTCTACTGAAGGAAAAAGTCACCTACATATTGGACGGCCTGAAGGGGAGTAAATAACTAAAAGCACATTTTGATCTCTGGGTGAACTACCCCTTTAACTGCTGTTTTCTCACCGCTGTCATGTTTGTTGCACGTTTATATTGCAGCATATGTTTAAATATTCATAAGGATGTTCGCTAACAGTAAACCACTGCAAAGGTATGTCAAAGGTCTTGTTACCCCTAAACAAAGAATGAAAAAGAAGTATATTGAACCTTTATTCAGCTAGCTGGATTATTCAACAGTACCCTTCCACATTAATGACTTATTGAATGTGTTGACCTCTGACCTTGCACTGGTTGACTTCTTCCTGTAGTTTGTCAGCGTGGCTGAAGCCGCTGGCGTCTCGAGACAGCAGCTCGTCAGCAGCATCCAGCCAGCGCTCCACCTCCTCACTCTTCACCTGATCCACATCAACAGCACCGTCAAAACACACCACATACATGCAAAGAAATTCCTCTGAATCAGTCTGATGGCACAGCTCTCACCTTTGTGTCCTTCATGCTACCCAGAATGCACTGCAGCATGCTGAGCTGATCCTGGGCGGCTGTGGAGAGTTCAGTCCAGCCCTGCTGCTCTGCTGCCTCCGATGCCTCCTGCTCCATCTCAGCACAAAGAGCCTGAAAAACAGGTCAAACTACATTACATTCATCAGATCATACTTTAGATCATTAAAATGTATAACCCTTATAAAAACGAAGCAGCCACTGTAGTAACTAAGAATGAATCCCGTGCCAAACCAGTACAGTCTTGCTGTAAAATTATAATTTCACTTTTTCATCAACTGACTTGGGTAAGCAGGTATCTGATTTAAAGTAACAACAGTTTTATAAACTAGAGAAACTAGGTGAAACGTGTCATTAATATAGTGCATACTATCACGTAATACTAGAAACATGATCATTTGCATAATACTTGACCACATTTGGGACACAGAAATACAAATTTTCAGTTAAAACTTTTGTTAACTGAAATAAAGCTGAATTTGAAAATATGAATATTACATGAAAAAACACTTAAAAATAAGAGTTGTTGTCAAAATAACTGACAAATAACTGAAATAAATTTAAGTTGAAGTAATAAAAGAACTAAAACTGAAATAAAAATAAAGATACAGATTTTTTTTTTAAAAGCTCTACTAAAAATGACAAAAGCACAACAAAATGAATAAAGAAACACAAAAAAATGAAAATTTAAAACTAAAAGCAAACATTTCTATTTTAATATTAACATATGAATAAATACTATAACAACATACAATACTAACATAAATAAAATGAAATAAAATAAAGAACCTCTTCTGAACCTGTTTTACATTTCTGATTTAAAAAAATTAATAAAAATTGTATTATTGTTATATGACAAGAAATCCATAATACATACCAAATCTCATTACAGACCATCATGACTATGTGTGAAGGTTAGCAAGTCCCTTTAAAATATCAGATATTTAAAAAATACAAATACAAACAATAAATAAAAATACAAAATTAAATTAAATACATTTTAAATAAAAATAAATCACTAAAATGGTAAGTGTATTTTTATGACATGGCAAATACAGTTGAGACTTGGATATGCTTGAAAATGTATGTTTGATGTGTACACATGTATCCAAAGTGTTAGGAAGCTATGTTTTTACTTCGATGCTTACTGTACACATTCATGAACTACTGTTGAAAATGTACAAACGTTTACCAACTCATCTCTACCAAATTCCTCATTTATCATTCACCGTTATGCACATGATCATGATAGGTTCAATTGTAAAAGATCATCAGAGCGCAGTACTTCATTCACACTCGTAGATGGAGACACAACTCCACCCGAAAAACCTGCAAAGATCACTTTCACTCCCACTGAAAGAAGTCACGGCTAAAATAGGAGTTTCTGCTTCTCACAGTTAGATATGTGTATGACAGACATTACATAAGTGGATGTAGGGCCATATTTTGGCTGTTTGTGAAGCTCTTCTGTGCCACGTGGGCACTGCCCGGCGCGCGCCCCATCTTTCCTGCCTGAGGCCAAGAGACGACCACAGCAGAGGATAAATATTTATAGAACTTTAAACAAATCCCAGCCAGCGTTTGCTCTCTTAGGCTTGTTTTGCCATCTTAGTCGTTGGCTTTCTTCCCATCATTCATGGAGTTAAAGAAAGAAACCCATGTCAGCGAATGTCAGCTAAAGGACTGAACACGTGGATCAAGTTGAGATTCAAACAGAGAACCAACATATGGCACAATGCTAGACTAACACAACAAGCAGACGTAGATTTAACAAGCAGGTTCCTCATCAAGCGCCAAACGAGAGGAAAACTGGCTTCGGATGCCCATTTTCCACAAGTTGGTATGATTCTTTAGGGTCTTCAGGAAATGTCTGTAACAGGCTTTGCAGGGGTTAAAGCAAAAAAAATCCTGAGCCTGAACTTTTTTCTGGGGGTTGGGGGGGCGGACACATACACGGGGTTATTTGGCAAACAAAAAAAAGAAATTAACTAGTAACGTATCTGCCATTGCCATTAGCCCTTGACAGGGAAATGTCTGTAACAGGCTTTGCAGGGGTTAAAGCAAAAAAAATCCTGAGCCTGAACTTTTTTCTGGGGGTTGGGGGGGCGGACACATACACGGGGTTATTTGGCAAACAAAAAAAAGAAATTAACTAGTAACGTATCTGCCATTGCCATTAGCCCTTGACAGGCTCAGACTACAGTTTATGGTGGGATATTTGAAACGGCAATACCAAGAAAGTTTACTCACTACAGTATGGTGCAAACACATGTAACATTTAGGATGCTTTTGATATCAAGTTTTGCTGGTTAGCGTTTGTCCTTGACATGTCCAAGCTGACCTACAATCTAAAACATGAATTTCTGAAATTGTTTTGTTCAAAAGAAAAATGGTAAATTAAATACTAGGAAATGAATATAAAATAGGAAATATACAAAGACCGTTTACTACAGAAAACTACAGTTCAGTTCAATTAACAACAACAAAAGCATAAAAAATGGTCCAAACTGGTAACTTAAATGGTTCGTACAGATACTGCAAAATAAAATTCCAGGACTTTCAAGGACTTGCACAACTTTTTTGGTTTTCAAGGACTAAAATCAGATCTCACTTATCAATAAATGTTGTTATTATCTTTCAAATTCTAATAAATAAACTAATAAAACAAAATGGTACAAATAAAGTGCAGCACATGCAAAGAATGCAATGACTGTGGCAACTGTAACATTTGAAAGGATACTATGGCAAAGTTATCGCTTTCCTTATTCAGATTTTTTTCATGAATATACGACTGACCTGAAGAATGAAAGCTATATCATACACTTGGAAAATTATGTATTTAAGCAAGTATTTTGAAATGTTTTAACTAATCTAGTGCTTAACTAATGATTATTTTGCTAATCAAGTAATCTACTGATTATTTTGACAAGTGAGTAATCTGATATTTTTTAGAAATACAAATAGAAAGTGGAAAAACAGGCTTTAATGTGACTATATTTATATATAAAGTAACGATGAGGCAATAATAATTGGCCTCAAATAAAGTATCAAAACCAAGTACATGGTTTTATTGAACAACATTGTTGAATACATAATGTAATATTCCTATATTATAACACATACCTGCAGAGCGCGCCAACGGCCTGGTGATGTTTCATGTGATTCAACAACGTTTAAATCCATTTAATTTTAATATTTAGCCACATGCAAAGTCGGAAACTTTTATTTTGAAATCGTGATGTACAATAAATCGCATATTTAGAAATATGTTGAATGTATTCTGTTGGCATAGGTTTAAATGATTTGTGTTGCAAATCAAGTGAGTTTTCCCAGATGAACATTAAGCAGAGGAAGAGTTTAGCACCTTTCACACATACAGTCTTCACTGGTAAGTTACCGTTAAGAGACCATGTAACAGGACCTTTTCAAAAATCCCGGTAAATTCGTTCTGGCAATCATATCGTTCTTATGGAGATGGCTTGATTACTCTGAGCTGTTTACAAAGCTCTGCTGCTTTTTTAATAGCTTTTCTTTGTAAATATGACGCTAGATGGAAATCTTTGACCATTGCGCCTCGCAACTTTTCAATGTGTCGAGCTCGAGACTCAGGCTTCTTTTCCATTCATCAGCCGTGACTTTGCAATTGGATACTATTATGCGTGTCTCGTGTTTATAAGAGCAAAAACTTCTGATTGGCTAGTAATGTTAGTTTGGTTGAGAGTGAAAGCTGTGTTCCTCTCATACATTGGTAGGCGAACTCATGAACTCGAATGTGATATCAACAAGTGTTTTTAAATGTAGGACGACTATCTTTTTTTCCCCCCCAGAGCCAAACGCCGCACGCCGGAGATCCGGCACGGTGCCGGATAACTTTAAGCCCTAAAATTCCTCAATGGTCGTGTAAAACAACACCCTTGTTCAAAACAGCTCTGTTCACAGGTGAGACGTTTTGGTGCATGTCTCTTTAAATGCTAATGAGCTCTGCTCACCCCACCCCTCTCTTCTAAAATTCCTCAATGGTCGTGTAAAACAACACCCTTGTTCAAAACAGCTCTGTTCACAGGTGAGACATTTTGGTGCATGTCTCTTTAAATGCTAATGAGCTCTGCTCACCCCACCCCTCTCTTCTGTGGGGCGCGTCGACACAAGAGCCGTGAACTGCTGCCGTGGACTCTATATATGGCTTGGAGGTGGTCTTATTCAAATAGCTAGCTATCTACGTAGAAACCGGCTGCAGATTGAAACAGCTCGCTGGATGACCGTTTCAGACTCAGACAGCCCATAACGAACTGGCTGTGTGTTTTCTTCTAAGCTTTTCTGAGCTGACAGACACGCCAGAAACCTAACTAAACACAAAAAAGCTAAAAAAAGTGAAAATTTTATCCGATGTCCCCTTTAATTATATTGTTAATGTAAAAATACAAAATAGAGTGTAAGCAATGTTTATTTGACCTGGAAAGTGTCTAAAGACCTAAAGACTTCTTACTGTTCAAAAACTTTTGACTGGTAGTGTACAGGCAACTTAAATTTTTCTCTTATTTCTAGCTTTTAATTGACTTAGAAATCAGATAACTGCTGGACAATAACCAATAATATGATGTTCATCTCGCCTTATTCTGGGTCCAAATAAAACATCAGATCATGCACAGACTATCCTGTCTCTTTGAATTTAAATCTATATTTATTCACACCGGCTCTTGAAAACCTCTATGCGAACACACTTGCCCGAAAAAGTGCGGGGGACAAATTTACCTGTTATTAAAAGTGGGGGGGGGACACGTCCCCTGCGTCCCCCGCGTAATCTACGCCCCTTGGTGTGACTAAAACTGACTTCTGGACCCTGCATATGAGCATCTCTGTCAAACACACACACACACACACACACCTGAGCTCTGATGACTCCCTGCTCAGCTGTTGTGATGTCTCTGATATCAGCGCTGACTGTGTTCAGTCTGGACTCCATCTGATGCAGCGCTCTGGACCCCGCCAGCCTGGACAAAACTACAGAGACACAAAAAGACACAAATTCATCAATCCATCCATCCATCCCAAAGCCATTCAGATTGATTAAATAAAAATCGATAATCTTAAAGGAAAGTATAATTTTGATGCTGTAACTGGTCACTATTTCACACTTTTAACCACATTTTAGCAGTTCTGCATTTTTTAAACAATTATTCAGTCCTTCCATGTCAATTAATATAAGCTCATAAAAATGCATGATAAGATATGATGTATTAAGAGATTATATATATATGCATGCCAAATAGGCCTGTGACTGGATATGATATACAGTAATTGAGAGTCAACTAAAAACCCCGCCCCTTCTTAGCACACGTGCAGTATTTACTGTACATCCGGATGCTTCCTCTTCTGTAGTACATCACTAAAATAATCTCTGTTGGATTTTGACATCTGTGATTAAGAATGTATGTGAACCAGCTCCTTCTAAGATGTTTATTGGATGTTGGATATCAGAGACGAGACGAAAATAACTGCCTGCAGCTCATTTGTGCTTGTCATTGTGTGTGGGTGTGTGTTGGCGTAGCTTGAATCCCAGATGTTAGAGGTCAACAGGTCAAATCATGGAACATTAGCTTTCCGCTTGTCCCACGAACATTCAACTGTTTATATTTAATGCAGCCATACCTTGGGGACAAAACTGCTATAGGGCTTTGTGCTAGTCATTGTAATTAGCTTCATATAAAGTCAGCCAAGTAAACGTGTGTGCGTAACTTTGTAAACTTATGGCACAAAACAGTCCCAGAAGTTAGCTAAATCTAAAACATCGCTCTGAGACATCGTGGAAGGCTCTATATTAGAGGGAAAAAAAACGTTTTTAAGAAAGAAACATTTTGTTACTGCCGCCGTTTTTATTCTGGTTTAATCAATTTTATCTCTAAACCGTTTTTCAGAATGGGGTCAGTCTGTAGTTATTAGCTGTATGTAAAACAATAGACGTCTATGGTATGTCCTCATTTCCATGGCTAGCTAAATGTGTGTGTGAGAGAGATTTGCTCAAGCTTTATGGTTAAACACTGATGCACTCTTACTTCGAGCTCTTTCTAGCATGCGCACAAACACACACACACACACACACACACACACACACACTCTCTCACACACACACACACACACACACACACTCACACACTCACTCACACACACACACACACATACACACACACTTGCAAGAGAGATTTGCTCAAGCTTTAAGGTTAAACACTGATGCACTCTTACTTCGAGCTCTTTCTAGCATGCGCACAAACACACACACACACACACTCAGAGGTTTATCGGGCCACACTGACATTACAGCCATAAATAGACCGCTCTCTCTCTCACTCTGGCTCTGCTCTTGTTGGTTCCACAAATGATTTGCCTGTTGCGTAAGTCACTATTTCTGTCTTTAAATAAAACTGAAGCGAACAAGAGAAACAAGGTACTGCAGCCCTTGGCACCAACTCAAACCCCGGGACTTCTAAAAACCTCAGTGAGCCTCAATCTTTCTGTAGATCTGCTCCAAAACCTAGTGAACTGCCAGCATAGGCAGTATCTTAAGGTCATAATTGCACTCGCAACACAAAACCAGATGTTTTTTATCCAAAGGATTGCATTTTATCAGGGAATGAAAACTTGGCATTGTTAGAACTTAGGGCTCTATGGCGGATGTACTATGTCTGGATTACATAAACATACTTTTTTAAGCACTTAACCAAAAGAAGTACATACTCAAGACAGTAAGTGATTTTGTACACAGCCTTGCTCTTTTACTGAAAGGCAGGACTTACATTCCTACAGCCGCCATCTTAGACATTACGGTGTATTCTGTTAATATTTCAATCATGTCTATTTCTACAGGTTTCTGGTTTCACATTGTTAGCTTGGCTTAGCTATTGAAATCAGGTGCGTCTCTTGTGTCATTTGTGTGGCGTTATTACTTACGTAGAGAGTTTTTATGAGGTTTATAAACTTGCGAGGGTCTGTATGCTGCCTAACGGACAGCTCACATAAACTTTTATGGTACTTTTTTGTCAATTTTGGAGCTTGACAGAACCAGTTACACTCTATTTTACAGTACGGAAAGAGCAGGTTGGACATCCTTCAAAATTTCTCCTTTTGTGTTCGAAAGAATGAACAAAGTCATACGCATTGGAATGACATGAGGGTGAATAAGCAATGACATTGCTGCCTTAACTATCCCGTAAGAATGTTGTTCTTTCTCCAGAAGCGATTTCATTTCTCTATATTTGTAGCTTAGAAAGAAAAGCTCAACTACCAATTTGCAAAATCCCAAGTTCCCTCAAATTGCAGGCTGGAGCGACATTCTCTAAATGCTATGAGAGCGTAGCGTAAAGGGCTGTAATTTGGCAATGTATACCTGTAGTGATGTCCTGCTGCCGCGTCTTGAGCTCTTGGATAGTTGTGCTGTGGCGTGATGCCAGCGCCACCACACTGGGCCTCATGGTATCAGGGGCTCCAGGTTCTGCGGCCAGATGCTCCGTCTGAGAACAGAGATCTTCCACCTGTGGCTGAAGCTTTTCCAGATCTGCTATCCGAGTCTGAAACACAAATACAGTACACATTTGCTCTGTTAACAACTCAGCAAAAACATAAGGCTTTACATAAGGAGTTGTTTTTAGCATGTTACTACAATCTTAAATATAAAGGTTCTTTGTTGGCATCAATGGGTTTCATGAAGAACTTTTCATGAAAGAGCATCCATGGAAACTTTGCATTCCACAAGGTTCTTTAGATCATTAAAGTGTTCTAAAGAAAAGATGGTTCTTTTGAGAACTGTTCTAGAGAACTGGTTCCCCAAAGAACCTTCAGTGATCAGTTCTTAAAATAAATTAAAAATTCTTAGCGTGAACATCATTTGAATAATATGAAGAACTTTATTTCACTATTTTGTGCAATGGAAAGTTATATTGATGTTGACGGTTCTTCATGGAACCATCATTGCCAATAAAGAACTTTTATTTTTAAGTGTGGACCGTTAGATTCCTGTTAACATCTAATTTAAGGAAATGATCTTGTATAAAATGGCCTGGTATTTGACTGACCTCACAATCGTCTTTGAGTGTCTGGAGTTCCTGCTGGTTGTTTTCTGCTCTAAAGCCTTCTGTGGAGATCAGCCACTTCTCCTGTTCCTGCAGAACTCCATCTAGAGCCTTCAGTCTTGACTGAACGGCCGCCACCTGCTCTAGAACTTGAGCTTGGTTCCTCAGATCCTGGATCAGGTTCTGGCAGCTCTCCCATTCTTTACACACAGAGTCCAGAGCAGAACGGGCCTCCTCTGAAGACATACCTTCTATAAAGACCGATTGAGTGATTTTAATCAGTAGGAGAAAACAGGCACCATCATTCATCTTGAGGAAATCATCCACATTCTCCTACCTTTCTCAATCATCTTCTCTCCTTTCTGCACTACCTCTTTCACTGTCCCCTCGTTTTCAGCAAGCTCCACCCGCAGGGTCTATAGAGACGGGACAAAAATATTCAGTAGACCAAATATATGAATAGGTAAATGTTAGTGTTATAATAAGTCACCTGTAGTTTTTCCTTCAGACCAGGCGTGTCTCCAGCAGCTCGGGCAGATGACTTCCATGCAGCCAGCCGTGACAAAAGCTTGGGAACATCAGTTTCAGCTCTGAAAAACACAAACACATCATATCAGGGTTCACATGAGGGAGTGCTACAGTGGAGCAGAACAACAGAGCAGTGTGTGAAGTGTGTGTAAACACTGTATAGCTTATGCTAATGGTTCCCAAATGTGCTCGTTATGAACACAGGCATAACCGCATGATGAAAGAAACAATTTCATGACATTTTTGCTCAAACAGCTGCTAATCCCTGTTGTCAAAAAACACTTTCAGGTATGACAGACAATCTTTGATATTTCTGTAGAGCACTTTTTTACTTCTATATTTTGCAGCCTAAAATGATTGAATTTGCTGTGGCTTTTCTCAAATGTTTTCTTTTTTTACTTAATTTTTTTACACAAATTAAAATAGTATTATCAGTGATTGCATTCACTTAAAATATTTTAAAAAGTGCATATCCAGTAAAATACTGTACTTATTTAAATCTAACCTACTGGTGAAAGCATATACATTATATTCATTATTATACGTAGTAGCATTAAACCTCTAGAAATTTTCATTTTTCCTACGTGCCTAACACAAGCATAAGCAATGCGTTGGATCACTTGTGCAGCTGCATCTCTCTTTGGCATCTTTTAGGAGTGAATAGGTTTTAAAGACAATTGACTAATGTAAGTCATGAATGAATCATTTGGAGAGATCGCTCGGAAATATTAGATATTAACCTCCACATCACTCAAACAGGCCAGCCTCATATTGGAACTTTTCCTTACATTTAAACCCTTTTATATGGTTACAACGGAATTCACCACAATCAAGTGGCAGGACAGTTGAACACATTGAATAATTAGTTTGGGCTTGGCATTATAGCTAATGTTGCTTTGCCCCCTCTCAGGTTAACTGAAAATCTGCAAAAATGCAAGCAAATAGTGCAGAGTTCGATTTTGAAAATCGCAAGATGTCAAAGGGACTGGTAAAAGAGATTTCCGGGGGTCCTGACAAGGAAGCTGTGTGTTTGTGTTTGTCGTACAGTATCCTGAGCTCGCCGTCTGTATCCAGATGTCGTCTTTTAGGTGGGGCAGGTGGCGGTAGCTCTCGATCGCTGCTGGTGAAGGTTTGCTCCATCCGTGTTGTTACTGTTGTGACTGTCTCCATGACAACCTTCTCCGGTACCTGGGGTATCCCAGACACCGCTTCGGTTACCTGGAAACCGAACAGACGCTTGGAATCAATGTCATATAAAAAGCTAATGTGTAGTAATATAAACAAGTGAGACGCATTTATCTGACTTGGCTGGAGCAGTCCTCTAGTTTTTGGACCAGGTTGTCCCAGCGTTGGGTCAGTAGGTCTGTGTCTGTTTCGATCCTCTGAGCTGCGGCTGGACTGTTTAACAGCACCATCACATCCTGTCCAGCATCTGACAGAGCACTCAGGGCCCTCCGCTTCTGGGCCATATCCTCCTTGAGATTCTGCAAAGCGTCAAAGGCCAAAACAGAGATGCTCTTATCAACCAGGCAGATTTTGGTTGAATAATGTTTATTATTTGTAAAACCTAAGCTTACAATCTTAAAAAAAAAAAAAAAAGTAGTAGTATCTGTGGACTAGAAGATATTTTGTGAGATGATCTGAACATGATTATAATGCTTTAATGATTAATGAATGAAAAATTAGTCCTTAAGAAACACTAGCTGACACTTTAAAAATTATTTTTAGCAAAGAAACAACTGATTTCTATAATTTGTATGTCTGGGGACAAAAACAGCTCTGACCTGACTCTCTGAATTGCCATCTCATAATTACAGTAATTTCGCCACAACAAATAAAAGTAAATCAGCATTATATCGTGCATGTTGTCCTCTACCTGCAGTTGTTCCTCCAGGTCAGCAGTGGCACTCTCCCCGCTGTTCTCATCCACGACCACAACCATGTGCGTGAGAGAGTTCACCTTTACCTGTTCTAGCTCCAGATCATTCTGCAAAACCTGTAAAAAAAGGTCAAAAGCTAAAGTACTCTTTGATTACATTTTGTTAAGTTTCTTAATTTACCCACAAAAGAGGAAATGCACATTTATTAAGGCAAGATATTACAAAATCACCAATAACTATATTATTATTTGAAATTATAGTAATATATTTTTTTAATTCTATTTTTTTTTTCACACTGCAATTATTATGACGGTGATTTTGTTTACATATCAATGTATTCATTTATTTATTTATATTTATGTTATTATTAATATTTATTTATTTATACTCCAGGAACTAAACAGAACTGGAAGCTGGAAACATGAAAATAATATCATAATGCATAAATGTTTATTACATGTAGTTCAAAATATTGGTTTTATTTTGTTAAAGCTAGATATAATTTATAATACCTTTCTTTTAATTTTGGGTCAAATCTGACCAAGGCATGTTTTTAACAGAATAAGCTTGATGTAGTAGAATTTAGGGTGGATATTTTTTGACTCAGTACTGTGTCAAGTATTAAAGTGTACATTAAAAAAAATGTGGAAGCACTAGTGTGATCCGATACCCTTCCTATTAGACTGTGAGGCTCCTAAATGTAAGCATGTGTGGGAGCGAATGTGTGTGTGTGTCCTCCATTCGCTACCTGAACAAACACGCTGAGGTCATGTTTGCCCCTCATTCACCGGGGTGCGTGTTGATTTGCTTATTCATTCTTCTCACAACTCAACCTCCCTCCCTCTCTCTCTCTCTCTCAGCATTCATGATAAATTCACATTAGAGATCATAAAGAGAAAGCTTTTATTTGTGAACCGGTTATGCACACAGACGGGATCTCTGATAAGAGTCATTCATTAACTACTCAAGTCTCCTTATTAATGTTTTATTGCTCAGAGATTGCTTTTTCAGGAGAGATTATAAAAGTATACACTTTGTCTTTTAATTTTCTTTTAATGTTTGCTAATCTTTCTTAATGTTTCGTAATCTTTTTCTACAATCTTCAATCATTTTTTTCTAATCTACAATCTATCAATTGTTATCAAGTCACTCTAAAAATGCTTGATTGAAACTGTTGGGAAAGGAAGCTGGGTTGATGATCATTCATAATCCATAACCAAACATGTGCTGGGCTAGAAATGCAGACGTGAAAAAGAGCATTACACATCACACATCAGTTCAAATGCTAACAGTTACATGTATGCTGATACCACTTTGCCTATGCGTTTCACCTTTTGATTATTACTGTTTACTGTGTTCTGTATTGTAGTCATTCTGTGTGTGATTTTAAATTTACAACTCATTTTGGGTTCATTTTAAGCCAGCAAGATTTACAGCTGGATCAAAACAACCCAGAGCTGGGTTCATCCCTTTGTGACCAAGCACTGGGTTGCCAAAATTACTCAGTTTAGTTTGTTTTTGATGAAATAGCTCACTCGAAAATGAAAATTGGCTAAATATTTACTCACCTTAAGACCATCCAAGATGTAGAAGAGTTTGTTTCTTCATCAGATCTGGAGAAATGTAGCATTGCATCACTTGCTCAGCAGTGGATCCGCAGTGAATGGGTGCCGTCAGAATGAGAAAAACATCACAATAATCCACAAGTAATCCTCACCACTCCAGTCCATCAGTTAATGTCTTGAGAAGTGAAAAGCTGCGTGTTTGTAAGAAATAAATCCATCATTAAGACATTAACTTCAAACCATTGCTTTTGACTAAAATACAAGTCCTCTATCCATAATATTACTTTCTCCGGTGAAAAAGTCAGCTCGTCTGAATCAGGAGAGAAATCTGCACATATCAAGCACATTTTACAAGCCAAAACAGTCTGAAAAAGATCTGAACAAATATGTCAGTGGATTTTGATGTGAGAGGACAACAGGGGATGGACTTTTTACTGGAGGAAGAGTTATTATGGATTCATATTTTGGCCAGAAGTGACAGATTAAAGTTAAAACATCTAAATGGTGGATTTGTTTCTTATAAACACACAGCTTGTCTCTTAATAAGATGTTAATTGATGGACTGGAGTGGTCTGGATTACTTGTGGATTATTGTGATGCTTTTATCAGCTGTTTGGACTCTCATTCTGACGGCACCCATTCACTGCAGAGGATCCATTGCTGAGCAAGTGATGCAATGCTACATTTCTCCAGATCTGATGAAGAAACAAACTCATCTACATCTTGAATGGTCTGAGGGTGAGGACATTTTCAGTTTTCAACTATTCCATAAACGCAGCATTTTTTACTGTGTATCATTTTGTGATGCATTGCAACGTACCATGACACACCATAACATAGCTGGCGATACCCAGTCCTACTTTAAATAGAGAAATCGAATGGTCCTCTTACTTTGTGCTGCTCTATCTGGGCCAGATATCCCTCCAGGTCTCCTGCTATGGGCTCTTTCTCCATCTTACGGATCCGCCCCTCCGTCTGCGTCAGCCAATCGGAGAGCTGATGGAGCTGCTGTTGCTGAAGGTCCATCAGAACTTCATGAAGTCTGAAGACAGAGGAGAGATGACAAATTCAAGCACACTCTTCAAACAGAAGACTTCGGCAGGAATAAGTGCGTCCGTACCTGGACTGACGGTCCATGCTGACGACCCGCAGGTTTTCCCAGCGGGAGTTGAGCAGTGTCATTTGTTCTCGGATCTCATCATCCTCTTCCTCACTCAGATTGCCTTGAGCGATCAGCTGGTTTCCCGCCTGTAAGACGTTACCCACGCTGCTCTGGTGGGCTGTCAATTCCATCATAAAGGCCTGAGGAGACAAGACGACACATCAGTTAGTGCTTGAGTATGTGGCACTCATTCACACAATATCTTATGATCTATTCTCGAAACAGAAAAAACTATCAAAAAGGAATGAGGTAACAAACCATTTGCACATTCTCTAAATGTCTGATGGTTCAAGTGGAACCAGAGTGCAGAGACAAACAGGTCTATGCTTCAGAAAAGCCCATTGCTTGGAGGATCTCCACAGCTTTCCTGTATTTGCCTTGCTTTTGTTTCTGCGTCACTGCCTCATATCAGCCTTCACTTTCTGACAGGAATGTAAACCTCACCCTCCCGCTCTGGATCCATCACTCAGGAGTGAGTTTATGTGCCCCGGCTCTGCGGTCTGTCAGAGGACTCTCTGCCTCTCAGAATTCCTCACATTCCTGGCATGATCCGAGCATGTTCTCCGACAGGACGGGAACACGGAGCATCTGAGCACGGGACATGCTAACACTTAAAGTCCTCGGGTCAATCAGAAAGAGCAGCGGTGGGCGGGTTCAAGACAAATCCAACATACTGAAATCCTATTTAAGCTGCTGCTTCTTCTTAGGATGCGATATCTTTAACTGATCTGACTTACGGTTTTCATAACCCGGATGATCAAAACTATGAAAAACCCCATAAGTTTTCATTGAGGGGGTAAAAACTTTTGTACAATAAGACCTATAGTGTATTTCAGCTGTCAATCACTAGCAAAGCTTAACGACTATCCTAAGACAATGTGCTTAATCATGCTAGCAACATGTTAAAACATGCTAGCAATGTGCTAATTCATGCTATCAATGTGTTAAATCATGCTAGCAACATGCTAACAACATGCTAAAACATGTTGACACGTTAAAACATGCTAACAACATGCTAAACATGTTGACATGTTAAAACATGCTAACAACATGCTAATAATGCTAGCCCCATTAAATCATGCTAGCAGCATTCTGAATCATGCTATAAATCATGTGTTAAAATATGCTAACAAAGTGTTAAAACGTTAGCAACTTGATAAAACATGTTAGCAGTGTGCTAACACACGTTAACAGCATGTTAAATCTTGTTAGTAACTTAAACATTTCAGTAATGTTAGAAAATATGAATAATTTATTGTCATACTTCAAGCTTTTCAAACTTATTTCAAACATTCAAACAAGGTTCTGTCAAGCCAACATGAAAGTTTGTTTAAACTTTTTACAAACTTTTCTCATCTAGTTTGTCTTTTTTGTACACATTAGGAATGCAGGCCTTGACATTAAGCGTTCTCGTGTGGTTGTCCTTCGGAGTATAAAAGTTACTTGCCCGCATAGAAAAAATTACATTTAAATTGAGTTATAAATATAATAATTTATTGTAGTTATACAAAACATAGTATAGTGTTTATAGAGTATATGTAGTAGATTTTGTGAGCATGTCACATTTAGTTTATTTAGCTTAAAAAATAAAAATAAAAACTTTAAATGTGAAATTAAAATGGCCAGTAGGTGGCAGCAAATCACAGTTAATAAGCGAGTCATTGCGATTGAATCGAATCATTCAAACAGTTGACTCATTCGGGAATGAAACAGTCATGTTGCTCAGAGACACAAAACAGTGAATTATTTCTGTTGGTGAAATAGAACAAAAAACAGGCAATATGCTGTCGAAAACGCAAGTCTCTTAACATTAACTTCTTGTTTATTGAACTGTTGTCTAAAATCACATTTGTAATCATGCAGATTTTGAGCAAAGAAACGGTGCTCGATCTTCGTGTGATAGTTTAACTATATGAAATTATATAAATATATACATTTTCTGCCCCCATATATTGAATTTTCTGATCATTCTTCATGCATTTTAATACTGAATCATGCAGTGAAAGAACGTACCTACTAGACTTCTTTACGTAGGCCTAATGTATGCATGCACCCTATAGGTGTGTTTTGTTTGATTTTTGCAATATTCTCGATAATGTCAAATCGCACACCGTTAAAACAACAATTACGATATTATCCCAAACGATATACAGTATATCACACACCCCTATAACAAAGGCTATATCACAAATAAAGGCAGCTATTATTGTTTTTGGTATTGACATTTTCAAGTTACTTGTCCAGTTGGGCAAGTAAATTTCTCTTTCACTTGCCCGTCCAAAACATTCACTTGTCCCGGACAAGCGGTAATGTCGAGCCCTGCAATGTTATATTGGTATACTTTTTCCCGAGAAATTAGATGAAAAATACTACTAGCTAGCGATGACACTAGCAGTGTTTGTGAACTGTTGTTGTGCGTCTCCTCTACCTCATGTGTGTGGAACTGGTCTTTGACCTCCTCCACGTCATCGGACACGTCGTCCTGCATGTGCAGCATGTCTTCGGCCGACAGCAGCCAGGTGAGCACCTCCTCCAGAGTGATCTGATACGTGTCCAGACTGACCTCCGTCAGCGTGCTGGGCGTCTCTGGCCGTGTGCTGCTCACCTCCTCCGTCTCTGCAGCCAACCCCTGCACAGAAACACACAGCGCTTCAGCTAACGGCATCTCAGTATGCTATATAACCTTATAGAAAACGTTAAGCACTATGTGTTTTATGAAGAGTGGTTAAAAAACATGTTTGCACTCATGTTCAAAACGCAAATTCACAAAGGACCAATGACTTCAGTCTGACACGTTATACGTCACAGTAGGGACGAAATGGAATCGAGATAGCGATTCGACAGAAGCTGCGATTGTCCTGCGTATGTTTCAGTGAAGCATGGTTCTGTGATCAGCAGTAAATCTCCATCCAAAGGCCAGAGAAACTCCAAATACACCTCGCAGAAGAAACCCAGAAAATGCCTATCGCTGCAGCTGAATAAACAGAAGATTCAACTGCTTTCATTGATTCAATGTGACTAATAAACACACGACTACGACAATATACGGTTTATCTGAGTTCTTATTATAATTTTCATTAAAATAAAGTATATAATGCAATGCCTTTATCACGGCTTAAATACGATGAAATATGTTGCGTGTCTTATTCTGTGTAAGAAGCCACATCATCTCACAGAAGGATTTATTTCAAACACTCGTCTGACGTTATGAAGCGAGTAAAAATATGTTATTAAATGTGGTATTTTCACATGCTTTCAGATGGAGCAGCATTTACTTCACAGAGCCGTAGTTCACTGAGAAGCTATGCAAGCAGCTGTCATTACCGCCAACGATTTCTTCGATTTCAGAATCGCGCAATAAAATCGTCTGCAATTTTTCTGCGTAGCTTGTCAGTGAACTACGGCTCTGTGTAGTAAATGCTGCTCCATCTGAAAGCACATGATGATGATTTACTACTGATCACAGAACCGGCTTTACTATCAAAATGCGCATGACAATCATATTCGATTAATCGTGCAGCCCTACGTCACAGCATCCTTGTATGTGTTAAATTTTCTTTTTTTTAACCACATTTTAACTACATGTTCTATTGACACTCCTCGAACTGACAAATTGTTACATTTACAAAAAAGACTGAGGGGAGAAATATGTGTGGGGGAAAAAATACACACAAAAAAATATATCCGACTTCTATTTCACCCCAAGATCAAAATAAAAAAATAAATAAAGCATGAAGACAGTTATAGACATTTTCTCATAACTGTCATTACCATAACGTTAATAATAAATTAATGAAATAAATAAATGACATTATTGCAAAGCAATAATTAGTGCATCATAGTAGTGAACTTACATTTAAATGTTTGTGGTCGGTAAGATTTGCTAAAGTTTTTGAAAGTAGTATCAATTTAAAACAACATATTAAAACAATAACTGTTTTCTATTTGAATATATTGTAAAATGTATTTTTTTCTATTATTATCAATCTATAAAACAGTCATGTGATACTATTCAAAAGAATCCTGCAAAAAAAATTAATTACGTTCAAAAGAAGAGCATTTATTTGAAATTAATTAACATTCCTCTTTTGCAACTAAATGCTGCTCTTTTGAACTTTTGATTCATCAAAGAATCCTAAAATAAAAAATAAATATTGCGGTTTCCACAAAAATATTTTCCTGATCCTTCAGAAATCATTCTAATATGCTGATTTTCTGCTGAAGAACCATTACGGTTATTATGAAAACAGTTATGATGCTTCTTATTTTTGTGGAAACTGTGATACATTTTTTTTTTCAGGATTCTTTTATGAATGAATATTAGGTATTTTATTTGCAAAGGTATTATATTTTTAAGTAGATTTTTTAAAAGATTAATAAAAAATGTACTTTACTAATTAACTAAAATGAACAGCATCATGGTAATGACAATTTGGGGTTTAAAATATGCTTAATAGCCCTGAAAAAGGGCTAAAAACATCTTAAATGGTTAAAGCAGAGTTCATTTTCATTATGTTTGTTTTGATTTTGGACTGAATGTTGACCTGGACGTGTTTCCTGAGATTCACTGTGCATCTGCTGTGAGCTGGCCTAGCATGCTATCATGGAAAATCCCATGTAAAGCTGATTTACAAACTAGTCCTTTCTTTTCAAAGACCCATAGGAAAAGGACTTATGGAAAAAGCCATCAGTGAAGGGTCTGAGCCGCACACTCAAAACAAGAAGCGCTGCACGATCAGCAGGACCTTCAGACGCAGACGATACTGCTATTGGCACGTGTTCTCAGCTGACTAAACACCGGCTAACAGCACAACAGGGCTGGTCATGTGATATCATTCACATTCTCAGATGTTTATGTCCCACGCCTTTAAAAACTGACAGCTTTTCTAAACCCGGTGACCTACATTCCTCAGCACTCCCATGACGGAAATGTCACAGCTCATTGATGAGAGTGAAACACTAATCGACTGCTAATTGTGTGAGTCTGATGGCAAAAGAAGCAGGTTTTTCTTCATTGTGCTGTATAATAAAAGACACAGAATCAGGTAATGAACCCGTCTGATCTGCAATCTTACATCGGGGAACCAAAAAGCACCACACCCGAGAACTCTGGGAAAAACCTTAAAAGTGCCTCAAAAGAGAGATACAAAATAACGACAACAGAAGGAAGCTTAGACTGATAACTCGAATACAAAGGCACCACTGCCCTAGGGAGTACGACATGAACTTCACAGTAGACAATGTCAACAACATGCTAGTACTATAGTAGCGTATCCAAAAAACATGGTATTACCATAATGCAGGTACAAAAAGCATGGCATTGTCATGATAGATGCCAAGAACATGGTATTACCATGGTGCAAGAGCCAAAAAAACATGCTATCGCCAGTCATTCTTGAGAAGTGGGACAAAACAGGGTACAAAATTAAAAAAATAAAACCTTGTACTCAGACAAACAAAACTACATTTATGTATCTTATACTGAGCTACGCTTTGATACAACCTCCCAACTTTTCTCTTTTTTAACAAAATTTGCTTTTTTTTAGCTTGGACGGTGATATAATTTCAGCTTTATCTTTAACAGCATTCAAGATGTTTTTAACATTTCAAAACACATTCTGGTGTTAGCAGACAGATTACACTTTCACATGTGAGCAACAATTCCACAACAAATATAAAATATCATAATGATATATCAAAATATTCAACTGACGGAGGTGACTGTCACGAATTCGGTCCATGGACTTCCGTTTATTCACCACCAGATGTCACCCTTTCCATTACATTGACTCTGGCACAACACAAACTGTTGCATAGCACCCCGGACTACATATCCCATCATTCTTTGCACGATTTAAACCAGTGGAGTTCATGTGGTAGCCATTTTCTTTTTTTCTGTTGATGCTAGATGCTAATGGAACCTGCTTCAGGAGAATACAATTATCTAAATATTTCAAATAATTTCCTCAGAAATTGGAAGATGGTGTTGACATATCATGGCTGTGACACAGGAAATATTAAGATTAGGATTTAAAATATTCTAAAACTATAACTTAGCAGAGGCTGTCTGACACTGATGTACTCTGCAGAGGTGACCTGTGGCAAGGGGGTCCTTTAGAGTGGCCGCTGCTCCTGATATTCCCTGATTTTATTACATTTTATTGAATGTCTGACGGTGTTGACAAAAAGTGGGGACGCAACTTTAAAATCTTATGAAATATGCATGTGTCATTAAAAAACAACCTTGCTTTGATAGGATATATTAAGTGTTGCTTTTGATAAAACAAGCTTATTTTCATCATTAAAAAACATTTTTTTTATCCATTTTATTGCATATGAATGCTTGAACCCTTCTCTGTGGACACACTGTTTTAGATGTAGTGAGAGGACATTAAGAAACACAGATTTGGTGTAATAATGACAAAATTTAACTGAAGGTGATAATTGTGTTAAATTTAACACAATTATATTATATATTATATAAAAATATTTTCAATTTTAAATGTCATGAGGGATTAATAATAGAATGTATTTAACACAATTATCACCTTTAAAAAAAAATAAAAACACCATAGAAGTAAAACAAAAAAAAACATGGTATTGCCATGGAACCAGATCCAAAAAACATGGTATTACCATGGTACCAGAACCAAAAATACATGTTATTGCCATAGTTTAAGTGAAAGAAACATGGTATTACAATGGTGCATTTTTTTAAAAGCATGTCATTGTCATGATAGATATCAAGATCATTGTACTACCACGGTACCATATCCAAAAAACGTGGTATTGCTACTGTACAAGTTTAAAAACATGGTATTACCATAGTGAAAGTACAAAAAGAATGCCATTGTCATGACAGATGTCAATAATATGGTATTACCATGGTATCATAAACAAAAGAAAAAGTGGTATTTCCATAGCACAACTCAAAAAAACATGGTATTAGCAATGTGCAATTTAAAATAAGCATGTAATTATAATGATAGATGTCAAGAACATGGTATTGAACATGGAACATTGTGCCACACCCAAACAAAACATGCTATTGCTATTGTACAAGTTAACAAACAGATGGTTTCACCAGATATATGAAAAAAAAAGCATGTCATTGCCATAATAGTCACAATTTGGTCATAACAGAGTAAAAGCAGAGTTTATTTTTTGGTACTTTTCTGTTGGTGAGAGAAAAAAGGTTTTTTTTTTTTTTGTTTGTTTTTTTTAAATAGTGACTTGAATAATCATCAACTCGTGACATTTTCATTTAGGGCTGTTTGCAGAAAACACTGACCGGTGAGACCGAATATTATTAGACTAATATATAATAAAGACTGGATCTCATTTTAACAGAGCTCTCACAGAGAAAGGACATTTAAACTCTGTTAATAGTAGCAGCTGAGTCCTAAAACAAGGCTTTGTTCCTTGTACAGAGAACAGCTCTCATCTGGAGGAAAAGGTCATCTGATGAAAATATTCTGCTGGAATTCCCGACTCTGTCCCACATGCTGGATAAAACACTCTTCTTTCTGCTTGACTGTAAAACTGTGTGTGCTTGGAGGGCGGTGAAGCAATGCTGGAATAATGCTGATTTGTTGACTGGCATTGTTTCATTGGGTTGATTCCCTGCTTCAGGCATAAATGAAAAGATCTCATAACAAGATCAACATCACATCAGCTGAAGATGATGGTCAAGCACGCTAATGACTCTGTACACTAAAAGTAACTTTCTGCTAAATTTTGTGGGCAAATAAAGTCAACTGTTGATCAGGGCTGTACAATTAATAAAAATAAAAATATGGAAAATAAAATCAAGATCGAGATATGGCTTAATGTGCTTATCAAATTGCAAAGGCTGCAGTTTAATAAAATAAATACATGGGCTGAATGTTTTAGAGTGAAGCGCAGCACTGTGTTCATTTACACGTGAGCAGCTCATTATCCGCCGTTATAGTATGCCTTTGGAAACTCAACATGTGCAACCATCTCCTCAAACTATGTTTTTTTTTTTTTGGGCGCAGTTGTAGTGCCACAATGCTTCTTTACCTTCCGCATCCAGTAGTCTCTCAATGTTGAGCTGATCTTTGGCAAATGTGAAAGCGTGGTCCAGCCTCTCCACTGGGGTTAGATGAACTACTTCCTCCCAGCTGAACCCATGAGGCCTGAAACACAATTCACAACAAGAGTCTAAAAGACCGTTCACACATGCAGCAGCAAACTAACCTGAAGTCATTCACTGTCAATGAGAGCTGACATGAGCAAAGGTTCAATCGAACACTCACTTCTAAATATTAGGTAATCACTTTGATTACAGAATGCACTTTTGCCTCTCTTTCTAAACCAAACTACGTGTGAACAGAACCGATTTTAGGATTGACAAACCACATGTCTGCTGTGTTGTGGATGAAGCCCACAGATCTACGAGCTCTTGAAGACAGTCAAGCAGGTCCACATGAATCTACATCTGCAAACTTCTGTCATTCATGGCTACACACCCTTGCGTGTTTGGTTATTAAATATTTGCTGATCTGACAACTCTTCAGGTGTCAATAAGGGTGTAGCACTAACCTCTGTTTAACACACTTTTTTTTTTTTACTTATTATGCAGATTTTCCCACTAAACCAGAACAGAAAATGCTGAAAAAGTCTGGATTACATCAGGACCTACCAACTTGTTCTCTTCATCCACAAACATTTTACATTGCTTACATAAGTTAATAAAGATTTTAGTGATTAATGTGCAAATATGCATACAAATTTGAAGTCGACAATCAGCTTTGTATTTTTCTCTACTTTTTCATCTACTGTTACATTTATGTTTTAAAAAATAAGTAAAAATAAAGAGCTATAGTGTTCAGACACATTGCTTTGTGTGTGTGTGTGTGTGTGCGTTTTTGTGACAAATGAGGACATAGATTTGTATAATGACAAAGGTATGACAGGTATTACAAGGAGAAGGTGACTTTTCAGGACATTACCCCATATCCCCACTTTTCAAAACGCTTATAAATCACACAGAATGGAGTGTATTGAAAATCTGAAATAGCAGAAAGTCTCCTGTGAGGGGTAGGTTTAGGGGTAGGGTTGGTGTAGGGCAATAGAATATACGTCTGTACAGTATAAAAACCATTACGCCTATGGGATGTCCCCACTTTTCACAAAAACAAACCTGTGTGTGTGTGTGTGTGTGTGTGAGAGAGTGTGTGAGTGTCACCTGAAGTGGTGTAGGATGGCGTTAAAGGCCAGGCAATAATTAGTGGGCTAACAGCTTTCATTCAAGCAGAGAGAGCTAATATATATATATATATATATCTATATTTAATAATTTACCCCCAGAAATTGATTTTAAAAATAAAAATCTATTTCACAGTAAAAAAAAAATGCCAAACTGTAAATAAAATATAATGTCTTTATGACATTTCTACATTCATTTGGAGATTCAATGTTAAAATATTTATGATTACAAATTTCATTGTCAGGTGCGATTAATCGTGATTTATTACAGAAAAAAGTGTGATAAATAAAAAAATTTCAATTGATTGACAGCACTATTTTTATTTTGTTGTTGTTGTTGCAAACCTATATTAGGCGTCAAAACAAATGTGTCTAAGTCTACAGACAGATTTATGAATCATGCTCGTTTTCTCTGAAGTGAACATTAAAATTTGAGTAAATCGACTGGTTGCACTGAGCTTCATAATGTACTTTGTTAATTTATGGCTTGACATGGCATTACTGCAATGATGATTTTAAAATCTGGTCCGTCTTTAAAGCATAATGCAGCTGATCTGAGACAGCAGTGGGCGGTAAACATATGAGCAACTGCAACTACACCCTACTGCTGGGACCCCCGAGGAGCCTGTCATCACACATAACCATAACAGCACAGCTTGAGCTCCCTTAGATTGATTAAAGCTTTTAAAGAAGGCTCTTCTGCTCACTAAAGATGCATTTATTTGGTCATAAATACAGTAACAAAAACATATAAATACTGGTATTGTGACAGCACTAAGTCCACTAAGGATGATCTGGAGTGAGTGCAGTGTGTGAGAGGAAAAACACACCGTGCACTTTTGTTTATAGCATCTGTGTTTGTGTGGTTCTGTTTGGTCTGTCTGACCCCGGGCCAGCGAAGAGTAAAGACAGAGGGCACTAATGTCCCTAAAAGACACGTAGGAACTGTAAAGCCTTTTAATTAGCCTGCCCTTGCTGTATGTTCCCTAGGCAGCATCTGTCAGCTGATACGAGGCATGAAACAAAACTAATTTCCTCCCGCAGCAGAAGCCCAGAGAGTCAAGCAGCAGCAAGGACACGCGGGAAGACTCACGCTGCTCTGATGAAGGACCTGCAGCACGCGGTTGACGTTGTTGAGGGAGTGAACTCTAGTAGAGCCTCGCTCTTTGGTCTGAGAGAGAGAGAGAGAGAGTGAGTGTTACGCCATACAGACACATTCACAAATGTACAGTACAAAACAGTGCCACAGTATTACTGTGTTTTTGAACATGCTCATGAAAGTACCACGTATTCTCTAAAATACCTTGGAATAGGGCTGAGTGAAATACACAACCATTCAAAAGTTTGGGGTTGGCAATGCTTTCGAAAGAAATCTTACTAAAGCTGCAGTTATGTGATAGAAAAAAAATGATAAAATCAGTAATATTGTGAAATATTATTACAATTTAAAATAAGTGCTTTCTATTTGAATATATTGTAAAATGTAATTTATTTCTGTGATCAAAGCTGAAATTTTCAAAGCCAGTCTTCAGTGTCACATGGCCTTCAGAAATCATTCTAATATGCTGATTTGCTGCTCAAGAAAATGAAAACAGTTGTGATGTTTTGTACTTTTTTCTGGATTGTTTAAAGGGGTCATATGATGCTTTTTTAAAGATCATTATTTTGTGTATTTGGTGTAACAGAATATGTTGACATGCTTTAATGTTCAAAAAACACATTATTTTTCAAATACTGTACATTATTGTAGGTCCTCTATGCCCCGCCTCTCTCAAACGCTTCGTTTTCTGCAAAGCCCCTCCTT